TGGAAGAGGATGCAGACTGAGAGAAATCTAAAACCCTCTTTTTAGTTATAAAACATGAGCCACCAAATACTTTGACAAGAAAAAATGACACTTTCCCATGGATCCACTGATCCTGCATCACCAAAGATTCGATAGAATAAAAACTTGGTAGCAAGGAATTAGGTTTTTGCCATTTCTGGAGGAAAAATGCATAATTATCATAATTTTTACATACAAGGTAACTGCAAACATTTTATTGTCAAACCATGTCATGTTTTTCCAGTAAATGTAGCATAACATTTCATTGGATTTTATAATTTAATGAACATTCATCAAATCACAAGAGGAAATTAGCTGATTGTGTTTCTCAAACACATCTAATGTTAGTACATTAAAGGTATAGTGGAGGATTTTTGCATATTTTTGAAAAGACCTGCCCTCTGCACTTAAAAAAAAATGCACATGCACAACCCTGAACCCAAGGGGGAACAACTATTAAACGCGTGCGAGAGGTGCACGAGTCCATTTCTCCTCGTGCACGCTCTGTTTAAAAGTTTGCATCCCTCATACAAGCTGACTTTCCAAAAAAAGATTTGCAATTTTTCCACTATGTTACACTGAAAATAATTGGAAACGGGGTTGAGCACGCAGGAAGGCCCAACTTAAACATATCACCAGAATTATCAACATTTAGGAGGACCATTAACTTTGATGAACCACCTTGAAAAAGAAAATCCTCCACTATACCTTTAATATAAGATAACTCTGCTGCAACGTTTGGTTCCCTAAAATTTAACTCTGAATTTGCGTTCCTTTTTCTTTTTCATATACCTTGAACATCACCTTGTTTTCCAGAGAAAAGAGCAGGTGTGTTGGTCTACAGCTTAAAAATGATATGGGGAGGAAAACTTACAGAACACATTCGCTGACAGAACATCCACTCCTAGAGCTATGGAGGGAATTTAGCTCCATTTTTTGTTGCAAAGAAAAGAACAAGATTTGTAAATGGAAATAGAAAAGAATCCAGAAATAAAATGTGGAAAATAAATAATTACCCCCCCAAAAAATATATATATATATATATATTTTTT